GTACTGTTTACATTTTGACACTTATAGTATCATTATGAAAAAGTCGGCAGAGCTTGTGTAAACATCTGACTCGTGCATTATCATGATTTTAAATATTCAGGATCAATTATCTTTGCTAATGAACTTCCGAATTATCTTTACAAGAAATAACTTTGTAAACCATAATATGAATACTTCATTACTCTAGCTGTTTTTGTTTTGTTTTTGATATTTGAATTTATTGTGTGTTAAAACATATTCTTCAACATAATATGTAGTCCAAAAGGGTTATGTGCACTGTGTCAAAATGAACGAAGGAAACTTACACAATTATTACTTAAATAGAGGTTGATATATATATAAACGTAATTGAACTGCCAATTAAAACATTGCACTTGTAAAGCTGTGTTTGTTGTTATTTAATGCATTGCAGTACAGTGCTCGTTACAAAGGTCTGCTACGCTGATGTGCTTCGACTCATATTGACAAAGCCTATATGTATTTAAGATATTTGTAACAAACCATGTGATTGCATATATATGATAAATATGACGTGGCGACAACGTCTATGCAACGTTATTAAAACGTTGCCATAACGTTATACACAAACGTTGTGCTCGCAGGGAATTGAAGAGTGCCGACCTGAACAATACCCAGAATTGATTTTCGCTAAGATGTACACTGAAAGGTTACGTAGGAAAATCCAAGAATCGGGATTCTTCGGTACCTTCTACACAGGTTCACTATTATATATATATGTACCTTCTACACAGGTTCACTGTTATATATATAAATACCTTCATAAGATTAATATTGGGATGAAGACATCTGTAAGAACATGATCTTCTCTATCGCGTGCTATAGTATAGCCTTTGCAGTACATGCTTATCAAACTGTATAAGCTTGTCGATTGGCGTGAAACCATAAAAACGTGACCATCAGATGTCCAAAATAGTCTATTTCAAGGAAAATAAATAAAACATTTTGAACGCTGATGAAACGGGTTTGCTTTATAAATGCGATCCCAAAAAAGTCTACATCACCGCGGTGAAAAGTGTCATGGGGGAAAAGGTAAAGAAAGGGTTAGTTTGAGGCGCGGTGCTATTATAGATGGATCAAAAATACGAAAACCTCTTCCACGCTGTTTTAAACATATGAAAACATTCCCCGTCATTTAGAAAGCTAATAAACGAGCCTATAGGGACCACGGAACCAAATCAAAAATAGATTGTGGGTTTTTCCCTTTCCCTTTTGGGCAGAAGATTTAATAGGAAGGTGAATGCCTCGGGGCCTGCTGGTTGGATATTTAGGTGGCAGAAATTTCAAAAGTTTTATGTGAGGGTTGAGCAATATATATAGATGTAATATGCATAAAAAACAACAACAATCAAGTCTGCTTTTGTTTGGGTGAGTTTATTAAGTGTGTAATTTGTTGTAAATTTTGGTCGACTTTTGGTGCCGAATTTAATACAAGATGGCGGCCCCCATATAAAAAGAGTTCAAATTGGCAGAATTTTTAAATATTTGTGTGAGATGATATTCTTCAAAATGAGGGCAGGTAAACCAGTGTGGATAACCCCATTTAATTAGGACAGTGGTAAACGTTAACAGTATCGTATATGGAAAAATCATTTGGTTCTGCGGTCCCTATAGTACAGGCCAAATATACACGGAATGACTTAGAGAAATGGACCGAAACTTAACCCTAGAACAAACGAAAGCTTTCTTTTTGTCGACAATTGCACCGCCCATCCACCGTTCAGAACTTTACATCGATAGAAGTAAAAACAAAAACAGTGATTTTTCTGTGAATCTCCCAATGGTAATGAAGTGGGCGTACATTGCATGGGGTTTAGTAACGCCCATTACCATTGAAAGATGTTTTGAGAATGCAGGGTTTCCGCATGACATTTCGACTGCTGACCATCAGAGGATGATGCTATTCTTGATGACATGCTCCACAGTGACATCCGAAGTGTTCTCGCAGGACAGTCCCTTGACACGTATGCATCTGTCGTTGATCCCGTGATTAGCAGAGGTGCTCACTGAGGCAGGCATTGTGTTCGACACAAAAACCTCCGCAATGCCTGTACATTATTAATATTTGGATGATGAAGACATTACCTCATTACCTAATCTAGCCGATGCTAGGAACAGTTTACTAACCGTTCGCAGTTATTTACAAGCACAGGTTGATGTCCCCGACAATCCGTTCGCTTCCCTGTGTAGCTTTATCCCAATCGGGTAAACAGTCTTGTAATGTTGAAAAGACAACTGTTATGCACATTTGTTGTGTGTATCGACGAGAACAATTGTGATGATACCTTTATATAAAATATGTGAGTTTCAAAAAGAAAAAACACCTAAAGATGTTTTTGCATGTTAAGTACATGCAGTAATATGAATTTGTCCTGTACATTGTTTTCACTACAGAACGGGGATATTTCTGAGTGAGGGTAACGCATATTGTTTACAGTGAACACCGGTTATATTGAATGAAAATATTCTACCCCAAGGAATTCATTATAAGCAGATTCGAATGTACCTTGCAATCAATAGTGTTGTAAATTGAAAAGTGAGGTTATGCATGTCTTAGAGTTTTTTGTATACCAACATATTTTCCTTTTCCTCTGAATTGCTCTGTAATTCATGCAATGTTTTAAAATTTCGTCGCCAAATCTATTTCCATTATATCTCAATGATTGTTAAATGTCCTTTTTAAAAGATTGTCCATCTAATGAAATACAGTTACTCATTTTTTTTAATAACGAACGCAGACGACATGGTCAGTGTAGCAGAAAAGATGTCAGATTCTCTTTTAAATTATACTAATAAGTGGGATTTAGCAGTGACTACAGATAAGTCTAAGGAGATTGTTTTCATAAATGGTGGTAGTTTGAGTGACAATGAATACTAGACATACAATGCGGTCCATTTAGACATAGATTGTGAGTTTAATTACCTTGGCATTTTATTAAGTTGTAACGGAAAGTTCCGTAAAACGCAACAAAAAGTAGATGAACGAGGTTGTAAAGCATTATTTGCTACATGTATATCATAAGTTTAGAATGTTAAAATCTTCAAAATTCTGTCGCAATTTCTTATGTATAACATTATCGAAATAGCTATGTAAGCTAAACAATAATAGCCCTGATATGTATCAATTCTTAATAACCAGATCTGCTGTTAATGATATATTGCACACCATGAACAATTGATCTTTACATCTTTGTATCTGTGTCATATCTACAACCAGAATTCTATAACAATGGTCATGCATATAAAATTAAATACGATAAGGAAACGTTCTGAAATGTTAGGTATATTACTGACATAATCAATTGTTTAAAAAAAAAACGTTATGTATTATTGTCACTGACTTCCTTAACTAGTACATAAGTGAAAGTGTCTAAATGAACAATATTTAATGTTTGCGGCACGTGCTCTTTGTATAATGAACATTATGCATTTGCAATATGGCCATTACTTACCCTAAGTACTACATCATGACTAACATCTAATTATTAAATAAGTTATTATAAAATTTGACCGACCACACTTTGATGTTTTACACAAATAATTATATCTATGTTGACTCCTAAATAATAGAACCTCTAAAACTTTGCACTGATATTAGTACTTATGATAGTACTGTTTGTAGTTGAAGCGAGCTAACGTATAGACCATTCAGGCAAAACAAATCTTGTATAAACTAGTTATCAAATGTTTTAATTAGTTTAAACTAAGGAAACCTGGTAAAAAAAACCGAACACTGGTTGTATTTTTTTCCATTTAAGCAATCGAAATGGACATAACTTTGGGATATAAAAACCAGGAAATAGTATATATAGTTGTGTATATAGTGTATGACAGCTTATACAGGGTTTAGTTCAGATTTCTGATCAAAAGCATGCTATTTACTGCACTTACTGAATTGGTTATAACATATGTCAAGTTGATATTCTCCGAAAATCATTATTGTCTATAATAGCGATCAATCACGGAAGTTTTACTCTGTGTTAATGATATATTTGAAATGATTTAATGAAAGTTGGAAATGTAGGCAAAATGTAATTTGATTGTTGTTTTGAAATAAAAAATGTTTTTAAAGAAAGGTGTTTCACTGAAGTTCAAATTTTTTTCTCAAATTCTTTCAAGCGCATGTAGGATGACGTATGTGTATAAAATGTCCAATGGATTAGTCTTATTTCAGTGTGAGGGGTTATTTTTCTTAACCAATCATACCCGATTTTCTGTTAGTCGTCGTTTAACTGACTGGATCGATCCACATCCTGTGTCGATTTTTTTCTATGGTTGGCTTGATATCAGCATACGTAGTTCATCTCTAAAAGCATTTCTTCTTTATGGAGATTTTCCTATGGAGGAAACCTGTTCCACTGCAGAGAAAAAACTAAAGAATTCCAACTTGATTTTCATATTAACAGTTACTTCCCCTGTGTTTCCTTTTGAATATAACTGTAGCGGGTATTGGATTCGAAGGTCAAAGGTTCGAATCCCAATCAAGCGAACGTGAATTTTAATTTTCTGAACATTTCTTTTTTTTTTTAATTTCATTAAAGCTTATGTCAAACCCATAAAAAATCATTGATTAAAGCTAATATCTTGCCGGTAATAGGTTTTAAAGTGGTTGGTAGTGGTACATAAATTCTTGAATGTATTCAATAACGTCATATTTCATTTAAAAGACACATTTGTAAATACTGGCTTTTAGAGGTAATTTGAACATAAAATGTGCAAAAATGTATTGAAAAAGAAGGATAATTAAGCATTTAACTGCCTTCTTTGGAAAGTTATTGTCCTATAATTCTCACAGGATTGCAGACAAATTGAATAACTAGCATTTAAGTTTTTTCTTATATTTCCAACCTTTTATCGCATTTCAAAGTCAAATTTCGCGCTGTCTGTCAATGGAACCTGGACCTGACGTTACGAGTACACACGCAACTGTTCCGAGCAAAAAATATTGTTCGTGGAAATAAACACAAAATCATCAATTTAATTTCAATATTTCAATCAATTTATTCCACCGTGAGGATATTCACCTTTTATACAACATAATTACATAAATTGTTGCGAAGCACATTGATCAGTTGAGTGTTTTCAATCCGGTAGCTTGGATGGGTTACCACGAGGAATGCTTATTGTTATTGATGTGGTGATTATAATGACGTCGGTCAAAACGACGTCATTTATTCACGACGTCACGAACATGTTCTTCATATCACAAAACCAATGGGAATTATGTGAGAATTATGATCTGATATCTTTCTATTTTGTTTGGTTAAGGTTATAAAGTGGCAATGCAGAGCAAATGGAAATATATGCGATTCAATAAAGCTCTCTGAGGTATTTACAGGAAATTAGACCTGGGGCTAATACTTTGAACCCCTGACGTGCATTAGGGATATACTCTTCTGAGGTTTCAATTACGGTCAAGTCTTGATTTGATCTTGTGTAATATATTTTTATAATATTTAAAAAGTTCTGATCAATTTTGATAGCAAACATGTAGCTAAAAATGTGTCAAAAAACTTGATGCCTGTTGTTTGTATAATTGTTTTACAAGAATTAAAAAAGATGACAAATTTGGCGGCCATTTAGAGAATTTGTATTTCTTGCACTTCACGAAAAAGTTCACCCTTTTTGACACCAGATTGATCACATAAATCGTAGCACTGAAAAATGAACTGATGTTTCTATCCCTAAAGTATTTCCTATCTTAATATACAATCATCTTTCTACATTTTACTATCCTTCATGATTTGCTTGATAAACTGATCAAGATCAACATTTGATGAAAAACCCAAGTCACCCAGGTCGTCTGACGGCAAACTTATCAGGTTTGAAGGTTGCCCACCACGATTTGGTTGTTGCCTGTTCTTTGCTGCATTAGGATGAGTTCCGGTAGAGGTGTCGTTTGACTGTTGTCCATCATGGTTTAGATGTTTGCTGACTTGTGCTGTAGAAGGCAGAGTCCCTGTTGAGATGTTGTTTGACGCCCGTGATGTACAGAATGTTGATGAATGGGATCCCGTATAACACGCAGTTGCCACAGCCGAATTTGTGGATGTTGTCGGTCTGACAATGGTTGAAGTTGCTGGGAGTCTTTTACTTGATGCTGTTGCGTTCACAACAGGTTGGGCGCAGATCTGCAATTGAGGAGGAGTGTTAAGACGCACGTTTCTTATTAAGACTGAGGACATGCCAATAATGTAATGAAACACACACAACAGCTGATTATATATTTATATATGTATGTAACACCAGACCCTTTTACCTTTCGAAAATATTTACAAATTTAGAATGGGGAAAACCAAAGTGACAACATTATACATACATTTGTCTTATTTTTCAAATTACACCGATATATGTATTTGTGAAATTCCATAAGGTTTTATTATACCAGATTAAGTCCATTAATTGTTCTGGCTGGACCTGTGTTCTGTGCAAGTTGTGTTGTGGGCTGACCGGATCGTCCTATTTGGGACACGTCAGTAGGCCCCACGACACAATTGTGTGCTATCTGTAAGCTTGCTCCTGTATTAGTGGCAACAGATGTTGAGGTCGTGACGATGGTTGGTGCTGCTGATTGACTGTATAAACTCACTGTGAGCGCAGGCTGTGTTGATGTTTGAAATCATGCAAACACGCAACGTTCAGCTCCAAACTTCAGCGAAGGTTTATCAAGAATATATATATATATGCAGCAAGGAATTAAATTTTCGGAACAATCCTTTCCTTTATCGAGACACAGAAAAAAAATCGAACATTTACATAATACAAAAGCAAAATAGAATAATAACATAAATTAGACATAACTAATATATAAAAACAATAAGCCCCTCGGTTAGCGTAAGCCGAAAGCAGACTTTACACAGAGGTCATCGTTGACCATTGACAGTGTGTGCGAACAATGACAAACACCGGGAAAACTGAAGCTTGAAGATTCTTCGTCTGGTGATAAAGAGTGGGGTATAGAGTAGAACATTTCGAAATATCTTTTTAATGGGAACATATATGTTTAATATTTGTTCTTGTGATAGATATTTTGAACGAACGATAAGGGTTTATTCTCCGTCAGGAACGAACGATAAAGGCTTGTCCTCCGTAATGAACGAACAAAAGGGGCTTGTTCTCCGTACGAACGAGTGAAAATGGCTTGCACTCCTTGCTAAGCGCGAGTGAAAATATCAGTGCAAACAAACATACGAGTACAATAATTTGATACGTGTTAACCGAACACAAATCATTATTAAGTCTATTTTTTTGAAATTACGACTGATTTACCATTAGTAACTTATCAATTTATAAATATATTTGTTGTATTGAGTAAATGTAAATATTGATTACGCTCACACTGACAGCTAGCTTAGAAATTCAAAATGTAATACAAATATTCAACAATCCTACCTTTCCTTTCTGATAATTGTATTGATGTTTGTATGCAAATGAATGAGTGTGTGTATGTCTTTATATATGTTTGTGTTATGTCATGTTATGTATATATATTGTAACTGTATTGTATACTAATGTAAAAAAAAATAAAAAAAAGTCTATTTTGGTTTTTTTCATTTTGAAATTACATTGACGAAAATAATATTGAAAAAAACGTACGGGAATTTGTAACATTTGATGACAAACTCATGATCTCACGCTTGACAACAATGCTGCGAGTCATTCTTGATTTGTTGCTCAGTGTTGCCTGTTATTACCTGATATAATTTGTTTTTAAAATATAATCAGTTGTGTGGTAAAATAAAAACATCAGTGTATGAAGCAATGGTGTACCAAAACTACCACTAAGCATATCGTCGTTTCACCTTCAATTGAACAGAACGAATGTAGCATTGAAAGCAGTGAATAGAAAATACTGTGCTGATTGGTCCGTATTAAAAGTGACAGACTCATATATGCAGAGATTGCATTAAGTATATCTTCATTGCAGTAAAAATGGCATTTTTTTCAATTTGATGATTTCTGATGTTTTCACTAGTAAAAAATTGCCGTCATCATTCTTGATATATAGGAAATAAGTTTCCCTGATATAACAACCGTTGATTGTGTTTCATGATTTAAGAAATACAAAAAACAGTTCATTGCTGGAGCTTGTGTTAATGCTGATAGACAACTTACCGCAATCGAAATGGCTGGTGATGCTGAATTTGGTCGGACAATAGTTGATGTCGCTGGTTGAGTGCTTGTGTTTGCTGCTGATGTACGGGGCTGTTTTGATGCAGGTTGTACTGTGGTCTACAACGGAATTATATACAAACAATTCATATTCTGAAGACTATGTGTCCTTTGATCGGTACTTGAAACAGATATATCAGTTAACGTAAAATATCCAATAAAGATTTGTCGATCGTACTTGGCAGGTTCAGAGGTGCACATCTATTAATTCAGGAACATTTTGTAAACATCGGATTAAATAGAAAAAGGCTACTCCTTTGTGTTATCCAGTTTTAAATGTCTTTATAATAAATGGAACGAAAATCTTATATAAAACTATATCGGTTCATGATCTTTTAGTAATTTTTACTTACTGTTGTCGCTGAACGTTTCTTTGTCATTGTCTGATGATTTCCAGATTGATATTTTCCAGCATTCTTTGATAGCGCGATGCATTCCTTTGCAATTTTTCTTGCTGTATCCTTCACAAATAAACCAATAATTCTGAGAAATGCAACAGTTAAGCTGCTATGATGATCACATCCACAAATGATAGAACATTCTTTAGATACATTTTTCCCTAGTGTAGCTGGTAAAGGTGGTGCTGAATGTGGAGGCGGCGATGGTGGTTAAGGTGGTTAAGGTGGTTAAGGCGGTTAAGTCAATGGCTGTTATTGAGGTGGTTATACAGTTGGTGGTAGTGGTGGTGGTATATCAAATGTTTTTTGTTTAAATGGATGCTTAGGTTGTGGTGGAAACGGTAGCAGTGATGGATGGTGGTTGTTGTTCAGGATGTAGTTTCGATGGTGGTTAAGTGTTGGGGTGATGATGGTGCTGGGTATAGAGGAGGGTTAACGTGCTGGTAATGTTGGCTTTGTCAAAGGAGGATGTGCTTGTTTTTGGTGCTGCTGTGATTGGGGTATGTAGCATTGGAGATGTAAATCATTCCCTTGGCAAATTCTTTATATATTTTGTGTTATGAATATTCAGTGTACAAGTATTTGTTTATGGTAAGTGCCTATGCTATTAATACGAGTTTCTAATTTGCTAAAAAAAGATTTTTTTATGTTATTAAATTCACTGGCGTAATTTAATTTTATATATGTAGCATATACATAATTGAATTCATTTTAGATAGATGGTGTACGAAACTAATTGAGAACATTCCTTATTAATTAGATTACTTACAGACTCTTTTATTGACGATATTGGTCGGTAGCCGGGTACGTTAAAGGGACACTTATCCTGTCTGCTCTGTTGATTTCTCTATTCGAATCAGAAAAAAACTGCATATAGAAACGGTTTATAAAACAGATAAAAAAAAATGAAAAGTATTAAACTTATAAGTATCGCCTTGTGAAAAAACGCCCTAATGTACAGGAAATTGATAGATCGAAATTAGATGTGTTTCGATTGTCATTTGTTATAACAAAAAAAAATGTTTACGTACATTGGTTGTTTTAACGGCTTGAGCAGGAACACTTCCACCCTACAAAAAAAAGTAATAATTGATAAGATTAATTGTAAAAACACAGAATATAAGATGTACTGAAATATGTTTTTTTTTTTTAATTTCTAACTATTGTTGATGCTCAAATCCTCAAAAGAAATAACATACCACCTTTTGATCTTTAGAATGATACATTGCCACACACTTAATTGATAACAGGAATATGGACGTCAACGAATACACATGTAGCAATAAGTATATAAAAATTGTAGAATAGTCTATGCAGCACAACTGTTTAAGGTTTATGTATGGCGTTTCGATGACTAGTGAGGTATGTACTCATCAGACACCTGTGGTATAAACACTTAAATGGTTGTGCTACAGTAAGCTCTCTTCAAACCATACTAATTTGTACGAAACTGAAAAAAAAATGTTTATAAAGAAAAGTGCAGCGAGATGAGCTGTCATGCAAGATATGTTGGTATCATTTGCAAAAATATTCGCGTCATAATTAATGTAAAAACCACTGTTAAAGATACATATACTTCACAATATCCAAATAGAAAGGCATACAAAAGTAAAACTGAGTCATGCAGTCCAGAAATGTGCAGAAAAATAAGCTTTCCGTATTATTTGTTCCTTCATTAATACATTTTACGAAATTAATGATAAGACATGAAAACTATTACAGGTGTTATTAATGATTACCTGGCGTGGGTATCTGACCCTTCTGATTATATCCTCACGGTCGGCGGGACTATGTTGTGCAAGAAGTTCTCTTACTTTCCTCACTGTTTGGCACTTGTGAAGCTCTGGTACATTTCCGGTTTCCACATACGTCATCTCTTCAACGCACCAATCAGGAACGTGACCGGACATTTTGATGCATGCATCGAGTGCTTCATAAAACATAGCATACTTCTCTTCATTGTCAGAGTCTTTTAGTTTGTTAATATCCTGAAATGATACTACGTTCTCATCCCAGCCAGGTGGCGCGGTAGCCCAGTCAACTACTTTCTTTCCTTGTACCTCTTTCACAAGCCTAGTTACTAACTCGCGAATGGTTTTCATGACATTTAAAGGCGGCCCTGGGTGTTTTTCTACATCACCCGAGTTCCATAGTAACAACAAAGCAGCTTCACCAAAAGAATGTTTAAACCGTAACTGTTTTTGTAATGCTGACTTACTCAGGATGCTACAAAGGATAACTATATACGCAAGGAGAGTAAGGATCACCTTAAACAGCCTTTTGCGTTCTTTCATGTCAAAAGCTTCCTGCTGTAAAAGGAAAATCATTGATATTAAAATCCTTTCTAAATTGATCTGTTATTGAAATTTTGTATTAATCCACACTGAGTTAAGTGTTTTGCTAATGAAGTTGTTATAATAAATCAGGTCATGTTAGTGAGACGAGCATTTGTGCTATTTTTTGTTTTAAAAAGATTCAGATGAATTTGAGCATTAGTTTAAATTGTCGCATCAGACCTACATTGCGAAACATCCCGACAAAATAGCAATAAATTGAACGTTTAAAACTAAACAAAGATGATGACACCAAGTTTGTTTACAATTGAACATTGAAATTCAAGAACTGGTGTGCCTATCCTTGAATTGGAATTGACCAAAATATATTTTAAAAAATAAGAGCCGTCGTGTGATTGTTAGATGCATTTCCTACCAAATTCGTGATTATTCCTCGCTGAAAGATGAAATTTCAATAAAACAATTTAGAATTATAGAAAAATAGAATTCAAACTCTTATTTTTATATCTACTCCTTTGTTTTAACATAAATATGAAATTTCAAGAAATGTTGTTAATTTCTTAACGTTAATGTTGCTACAGTTAATACAAAGTTGTATTCATGCCCCATGCATCCCTGAAGGTTCAGAATATTTCTACTGAGACAAAATGCATCAAAAGATATATAGATGATGAAATAACTGTGTGACAGACAGATCCTTTAACATATCATATGTGTATAATTAAAAACAGCTCGTAAGATTAGAAGTAGGATAAAGATTCTGCATACAAAAAAACCAAATGTAAATAACTGCATTGAATCTTATTTCATCTTACAATAGCTGTAATTTTAAATAACTTTTTCAGCAAGAAGTCATAAAAATTTGGTTGGTAGTACATTTTCTTAGCAAATATTTTAGAAAGATTGATAATTATTCTTGACTGTTCAAACCTATCAGTAAACCCACTCCCATTTAAACAAGGAAAAACGTTTACAGGTCCGTTGTATTTTGGTGTGGGTGTATATACACAATACTTTTTCCCCGAGTTTGATTTAATAAACAACATTTTGAAAAGACCAACGTTATATATTTAAGCGATTTGTCTTACACTGCATACTAATATTATCAACTATATTACGTTGTCATATTCACGAAAAACGAAATATAACTAATTCAAACCCTAATGGTTGTTAGTTTCAGGTTTACTGAAAACGCAGGCCTTAATGTAACCTTCGGTGCCAGTATGATAGTTGATTGGTTAACATCAGTTTCGGTAAGATGTACTTCCAAATCATTTCTATATGGTACTCGTTAATCATTAAAGATGTTTCATGAATTCAAACATAGGGTTTAAGTATTTTGTATATACACCAACATCAACATTTCTATCTGTAAAGTGAGAATTGGAAAATAAAATGCTGTTGTGAATAAAGATGTGATATATTGCAGTTTCTTTTATTTCGACGGAGAAATTTATGGGTGAACACTGCTGTTGGACAGAGTCATGTAGTTAATTCATTATTTGATGCATATTTATAAATGGAAATTCTACTTATTATAAAATATTGGAAAAACAAACAAAAAAAATTCTCAATCTCTTCTTCTTGCAAAAGAAGGATTTGAAATGAATTGCAGTTGTAAAATCGAATGTTATTGAATGCTATTATTTATGAACAAGGCTATAATTAAGCAACAAGAATTATGATTGTTTTTATCCCTAAAGAGTCTTTATTTTTATACTTAAACAAGTATCAATCAATACAAATCAATAAATTGGATTAATTATTTAATCAAAATCTTTATATTGGCATTTTTTCCCCTTTTGTTATATAATATGAACTAATAGTCACCGAGTACATTTACAGAAAATATATTATTAATTGAATTATCTTATATAGATTTACCAGATATCCTTAAGTTTATTAAATATTTCAAAACAATCTGTTAACAGCAAGTCTACATTTAAGGAACAAAAATTATCATTGTTTCTTACCCTAAGAGTCTTTACATTTATACTTAAACAAGTATCGATTTTTTTATGTCAACGAATTAGTTGATGGGTGAACACTGCTATTGGCCAGAGTCATGTAATAAGCTCACTTTTCTATGCTACATTGTACATATATATAAACGGTAATTCTACTTATTATAAAATATTGGAAAAACTAAAAAAAAAATAACTTACCTCTCCCATGATCAGGCTTTTCTGCAAAGGAAAGATTTAAAATGCATCAATGTTGTAAAATCGAATGTTATTCAATGCTATTATTTATAAAAAATCAAAAAAGTAGTTTCGTGATAACCTTTAGCTACTTATAAAAAAAATGATGATCTAAATACTGTACAACTGTATGTCTCTGCAATGAGTTTTGACCAAAAGTGCGTCTCAGTTAAATTTCTTCAACTGCACATTGACAACATACCCGAGAATATTGGTTATGCATACTTTTAGCAAAGCATGCAGACGTTAATGAATTGTCTATGCTAGCTATAAAGCGAATTGCCCTCGTAATGTTTTTTTTAATTGCAAAATGAGGGATACATTGGATGTTTTATAAGGCTAGATGTCAACCATTCTTCTCTTTTTGTGTTGAATTGTAGTATTTCATATACGATATTTCTAGATGATTTGTCAGTCAAACAGTTTATTAATTATTTCCAAAGCACGAATTAACATGGCCACCAACACCTACGAATATTCTCCCTAGTCAATTTATATGCGCATAATTATCTTTGTCATGAGAAAAGTTTAACAGAGGAACATTATAGCTTCCAAAAATCATAACACAAATTCACTTCTGAATGGTACTGGTGTATTCAGTG